TTGTTATTAAAACACGCGAAAGAAAAGCTGTACGAACTTCTACGACCTAATCTCAAACTTCTTAAAAGTATCTTTTCTGTTCCAAACTAAAGCGCAATCGAAACATTCAATAAATAAAATTAATAAAAATGCGAAAACAAATATTTAGATTTACTGAGGGTCAAACTCAGTAGCACATCCGACCGAGGCGACGAAAAGTCCTCTGCTGGCGTTATATTGTTTTGCGCTCGCGCGATATCTCGTTGCGGGGGGTGATACACATAACACATATATTTTCTCTCTCTCGCGAGAGCTGCTTCCTTCCTGCATCAGCGCCGTCGTGTTTCGCGCGTGCGAGCGCCCTTGAAGCTCTCGGCTATTATTTTTCGGTCTTAAATTGCTAGCGCGAAGGTTGTAAATTGTATTTTTCCCATTTTTCGGGCCAGAAAGTTTATATCGTCTCTACGCAAAAGAGCTTCGAAGTTGCGTTTCTTTATTTCCTCTGCAGACACTATTTATTGTTGAACTGATACTTTATTTCAGTTGTTCGATGTTTATAATGTTATATAATAGTGATTGATGATAATTGTTAGTTATACAGTTAGATGGCAGATATTGAGTAAGAGACTATAACAAAAAAAGTAAATTTAGTTAATAATGCAAATTAGAAATTGTTTTAAAATGTCTAATTATAACTTTCATATTTTTATTTTAATAGATTGAATAGAGTGATAATGGTTCTTTTAACTGAAGTGGCGTTGTTAGTTACAAACTATATAACGAAGTATGATTATTAAATTTTGTTAGCTTAACCTTTTTTCATCAAAAGTGTACATGCTACATAACACTTAAAAAAGATTCTTTCAACGGCATTTCTATAAAACAACACAAGTACAGAGGGGAGCACGAAAAGAACCGTTGAATTAACAAAAGGAAAGATAAAAAATCCTCAAGCATAAATCCAAATAAATAACTCGAAGCGCTGAATATCTTTCCGTAGCTCGAGCTTCTCAATCTCGACTATAAAACGTCATCGTGCAGCCCGTCCCCATTTTTCCATTCTCCATTTTTCCGTCGACGATGTTTTTGCCTGATTACACGAAAAGCAAGAAGAGATAGAAGCAGAGTATAGCTTATCTCAGCCGTTTGATCTGCGGGAGACAAACGCGACGTATTTTCCTCGCGGTAATGCGCAGACGATGATATATTTATTCGGGAATGCAATAAAGCCATCCTTGACTCGACTCGAGGTTTTCTTTTCTGCCTTTCGATGGAAATTTAATTTTTATGGGATTTACTGTCGTAGAGCGGATTGCGCCTTGTTATACGCGCGCAGAGTGGATTTGTGAGATTGTTTTCTTCTCTCGATTTTATTGAGGATTGCTATTATACGACGATGTTTCGCGGAAGAATTATGAAAATGATGGCGTGAGTTAGGGATTCCAATACGTTAGTTAATTTACGTCCATACAGCACGTATAAGACAATAAGCTATATTTTATATAACACAGTCATATTTTTTTATACATTGATTTTATTTATTAAATAGAGGTTATGCAAGACTGTGCAACAAGTAGGTATAAGAGTAACAAGAAAAATTATAGATAAAAAATAATTTTTCAGTTAATGAAAATTGATAGCAAGATTTTATATTTTTTTGAAATCAATACATTTGTAAATCCAAAATCATATTATTATTTTTTTACAAATTTCACATACGATTCATTCGAAGTATGCAGTTTATGATATTAATTTAAAACACATTAATTTACCGTCACGAGGCACAAAATGTCGAGGCAGAGTTCGAAATCCTCCTTCTCGAAACGAGAGCCAAAAAGGAAGCAGAAATAAAAAGAAAGAAGTAACTAAACGTCAGTGTCAGTAATTCGAGAATGGTCGTTCTGCAATATTTATGACAACAAAGGGTTTCGCGTTTGATGCGCGCATCTCTTTTCTCTCGAATTACGCGCTTTCAGATCACGCTCGCGACCTCAAGCTTCTTGTTTTTTTTCTTCTTCTTCTTCTTTTCGCTGAGCGGACGTGAGCCGAATAATCGCGTGCAACGGCGGCAGCGGCGGCGGCGGCGGCGTCGGCGGCGCTACGGCAATTACTTATTACATACGAACTAGAAAGAGGCTATACCAAGCAGCGGTAATTGCTTTTCGAACGGAAAGTTCGTCGGTTGTGCACGGGACCCACTACAATCGACTAATTAACTTTTCAGACGACGACTGCTGCAGCACACTGACTTTTTGCCGCCTTCGGCTTTTCTTCAGCTTTCGAAGCCTACCACCAAGAGAACTTTCATAATCAGCCTGTGCCGGGCCCCTTTTTGTTCTTTTGCACGCGCCGAGAATCTCTTGCTCTTATATCTTTTCTTCTTCTTCTTCTTCTTCTGTGCTTTTTTTTTTCTTTATTTTTTTTATTGCCGTGCGGCTTTTCGTATAATTGCTAGGGCAAATCGTGCGATTCTCACAGCAAAGTTGTACTTCTGTGAGTCAAAAAACAATCCGATTACCGCACTGGGATATTTAAATTTCCCTCGTTGGGAAACGAATACTTCAGATATCCCAGCTTAGCAATTTCAATCATTTTTCTGATCGTTCAAACAATATTTCCGGGAAAGCAAACAAGAAATTTAATGATATTTTCGTCGAATAGTTGAAAACAAAATTATTCGACATTTTTTTAAGATAGGAAAATATTATGTTAATGTCGTTGCAGATTTTGTCAAATGAACAGCACCAAAGTTTCCAATTTTGCTCCCCGACTAAGTCATCTCTCATCAACAAAATAACATTACTTTAACACAGCTAAAAATAATTTACCTATCGGCCTATCGGAGACGTGTATCGATAAGAACAGAGGCGCCAACGATCGTGACGGTAAATCAATTGAGTGCAAGCGCGCAACGTGTATACGTAAACGAAGCGCTTCGTTGCTGCTGCCATGCGCTTTACTCTACCGCGTACTTGGCATACTCGATTTGCTGCGTGGCGTCGTAAGAGAGAGAGAGAGAGAGAGAGAGAGAGAGAGAGAGAGAGAGAGAGAGAGAGAGAGAGAGAGAGAGAGAGAGAGAGAGCACATGCAAACGACTCAATCCCAGTTTCCCTCCGATTAACGCCCCGTGTGAGAGTTGCATCCTCCCTTGCTGTGCGAACGACCTTCTCTGTGTTTAGCTGTACTACGTGCATCGTTAACGAGATGACATGTTCTCTCTCTCTTTTTTTCTCTCTCTCACTCACTTGCAATTAACATTGCTGTGTGCTGTTTTGGATTGCCGTAATGGCAGTGCATCATTTATTCGTTTGTATTGCGATTGAGTGTGATTAAAACAAATTAAGACTTACTGAAGGAATTTGTCTATCGAATCTTTTCTTATAATCAAGATTAAGAGGTCATCACAAAAATTTACTCGTTACTTTCAAAAGAGTATGTTATATTCACACTACGAAGGTGTCTTATTTTTTCTCTTCGAAAAAGTATGCTTTTAATTTTTTTATTTAAAAATTTTATTTATAATTACATTCTCCGCGAAACAAAGCGCAAAAATATATAAAAAATAAAAAAAGGGGGAGGGGGGAAAGAGAGTGATAAAGAGAGACCAATTTTCCTAATTATACCTTCAGCTACATCAAGAATATACACCGAGAGTAGCTAGCGCATCAGTACAGGCGCGCCGTATTATCCGGGCGTAGGGTCAAATTGCTGTTGTTCCGTCGCGTCGGCAATAACGCGCACCACCCGCCGAACTTTCGCGTTTTCAACGTTATTGTTACTGCCTGTCTCTCTACATTTTTACCCCATAATTTTCCAAGTCCTCCTGTATAAATGGCCCTACGCACATACAAACGTTTCGAGCGACACTCGTCGTGAAAAAAGCTATTATAGCTTATAGATGACTATTTCTCTGATTTTCTGGCGATTCTGTTTTGATTATAGATGCTGTAGTAGCCATTGCTGACCTTCGGAAGTTGATTTACGGATATATGTTGAAATTGAAATGAAATGCGAAAATGAATGACGTTAGTTAATGTCGAGTTTGCGTAGATCATATCTAAACGTCCGGCCATTAATTCATAATTTTATCAGACGACGCTGCACGAACGCAGCAAGAAAGTTTTCAAGGCCTGATTGGAATGCAACGAGACGCGCATTCTATTGAAATACGTGCTTCAGATAGAATCGTTAAACAGTAGATTAAACTAGCATACTTTTCTCTCTCATTACAGGCACACGCCACCTCAATAGCACAGCTCAATATATCCATCCCGTTTATAACTTCTATTTCTACCAAATGAAATATCGACCGGAACAACGGTTTATTCCAAAAAGAAAAATACCTTTGGCGTTTGCCCAGTTTTATTCAAATCATCAGAAGGCCGATCTAATCACCCGTGAAAAGTAGCAAGAAGAGGAGGAAAAAAAAAGAAGGGGATTCGTAGACTCCACGCCGATTTTCAAGCAGCATTCCATTGGCTGGCGCATTTCTCAAGTGCTGCGTGTGCTGCATATGCTTTTCGCGAGCTCGGGACTTTTCCGATATATCGCTCGCGCGGCGGCACACACGCGGAATCCTCAAGAGGTTTCTCTCACGCGCGAGAAAATCCAACGGACTACGATACGTGTCGCGCTTTTTCCTACGACCAACGACTGATTTATTTATTTATTTTGTGGTCTTCGATAATGAGATAAGTAAATAATGGAGGTCGTTATTCGTCGCTTTGAAGGCAAAATTCTTTTATAGGAAGTTCGATTCTAGCCAGTGATAAACGCCATTGATAAACTTTTTTCAGTGTTAAAAACAACATGAAATTCAACCTCAACAGTCAATAAATTCACCTCGAGTAGTAATATCGTTCACCTGAAAATAGATTGTAAAGAGCTATTTCGAGTAGGCTCTGTTCCCAATACCTAAAGAATGACCAACATAATAGCGCGCGCTGAGGCAAAAATAAATCATCACAAGCAATTAGGCTCGCCGTGCAAAGGGAACATGACATTTTTTTTTTATTTTGCAGAACGAAAAGCTGGAGGTGAAACAGAAATGGGCATCGCGGCTGCTTGGCAAATTGCGCAAAGATATAACGCAAGAGTACAGGGAAGATTTTGTGCTGAGCATCACAGGCAAAAGGCCGGCTATGTGTGTACTCAGCAATCCTGACCAGAAGGGTAAGATGCGCCGTATCGACTGCCTGCGACAAGCTGACAAGGTTCGTTTATGGTTTTCTCTCATTTCATAAATTTTTAACGTCTTGTCGTTTCGGTATATTTCAAGAATGCTTAGAAATGTCTATTTTCGATTATTGCCGATTACCATTTAGTTTTGTTATTGACCGTTGAGTGATGATTAGGATAAATCATTTTTTTAACCGAATACATATTAATCAGTTTATAAGTATTTATAACAATCTTTGATCGCCATTTATTAGTGTTCTTGCTAGTTAGCATGTTTATATTTTTGAATTATTCCGCAATTGGTATTGTTAGTATTAATCGAATTTATATTCTTCAATTCATCGTTCAAAGCCTGAATGCTTATAGACGACATTAAATTCAATCTAACTTTTCGATCGTCGTTAAGCTTAAATTTTCCACAAAAAATAAATATTTATACAAAACGCATGTCATAAAAAATTGCACGTTAATGTGATTTGCAGGTATGGAGATTGGATCTGGTGATGGTAATCCTATTCAAGGCGATACCACTCGAGTCGACGGATGGGGAGAGACTGGAAAAGACTGCGGAATGCGCTCAACCGGGGCTCTGTGTCAACCCTTACCACATCAACGTCTCCGTCCGGGAACTGGATCTCTACCTCGCAAACTTCATTACCAGTCACGGTAAGTTACTTTTTCAGCTATTTTCATCCAATACTTTCTTTGATCAATCAACATCTTCTCTTCGAGACAGTCAATTGCCAACCGTCAAAGTCACAACTTGGCCAATTCGCCGACCAATTTGTCGTCAAAACAAAATCAGCTTTTTAGCGATCATCGTACACATTGCAATCCTTGCGAGTCATTGAACCCAAAGCTTGTGGGCAACGTTGTGCGCCAATAAGTAGCGACGACGGCGCGCGCGCGATCTCAACCGATCCAACTTGGAAATGACTTGCTGCCCGCTGGCACACGTGGCCGCGCATCACTTGGAGGGTCACACACACACACACACACACACACACACACACACACACACACATACACACACACGAGAACTATACTCGCACTTTCATTCGGGGTCTTGCCAATTTCCCCCATGAGCACGTTGCTTCACTTTGGCAGCGATCGGCTCACCCACGCGCAAGAGCCCAAAATTCCAGCCAGATACCTCAAACTCACGTGTCTGTGTTTTGTTTGTTTTCATTCACACTTTCGCACCACGTTGACGCGCTGCGAGAGTACGTCTTCGAAACCGGGTCGTCGTGATCTTTTTTTCTTCTTTATACTTTCTTTAATGAGTTGGCAGGTGTGTGGTGTTTTGAACGATGCTGCCAATAAATGGGGTCTCAGATGGACATTGAAATTTCGTGAAATGTTTACAGCGGTGGCTTTACAAATAAGTTTGAGCTGATAAGTAGGAATAATTTTCAAATCGATCTTATTTGTTAATCAACCGATTGATGTCTTTCATCGAACATTCTTAACTTTGATTAGGAAAATTGATTAGGACTTACTAACAATGAAAAAATAAGACTTGCATATATCGATGGTTGTAGATGGCGGAGTAAACCTTTTCAATTGAACCGATCTAACGCGGAAGAGTTCGTCAATTGTACTTGCAAAGCGATGGATTTACTTGTGGAATAATTTACTGTGTTCGAATAATTTTTATTTCCGTGGATACTGCTTAAAATGAGCCTACACTGACTCATGAGCTTGGTCAAACAAATTGATAATGATCAATATGGATATTCGATGATGTATGTATAACTGCCTCGTCATATACTTATAGTAATCTAACTATAAATTATATATTTTGGTTGTGGACCATCCGTACCTCATTGTCAACTCATCCTATTTATTTTGTTCTATAAGTGACTTCCATTCGCAAGCGATAAATCAGTTTAAATAAAGAAAAGTAATAATAAAAGCTTGATCGATTTAACGGCAAAGCGAAATTACGGAAGCTTTCGACGACCTGACAAAACGAAGCCATTGCCATCTAAAGCTTCTCATTCCCACGGAAGACCACGCTTTACTTGCGCCGAGTTCAAAGTTCGAAGAAAAGCTTGGCGCTCGCGACGAGCTTTGGCAGCGAGTTTTGTAATGTTTACAAGCGACGCAAAAATTGGCCGCGGATGCAAAAGCGAGGAAAAAAGAAACGAAACAAGACGACGCTCGCTGCTACTCTGCCAAGACGATGGGGTAGGTTAAGGTGCTTTGCTTTCCAGCTGACACACGTGGCAGCGCGAACTGCCAGAGAGAGAGAAAGAGAGAGAGTTTTTTTTTCTTCTTCACGCGCTCAGACTCTGCCCCGGCGTTTATTTATACGCGTGTCGGAGAAACGCCACATCGTTCTTTTTTGATCGCCTGGAATTTTTATTGATGTCGGCGGCGAAATTTATCGGCGCGTGGATTGTGCGATGAAACTTTTAAAGGCCATTTTAATGTGCTCGAGAAGATACATCGAGTACTTTTGCTTAGGCGTTTCATTATTGTGTCTTTATTCTTTCAACGATTTGATGCACGATGTTTCCAGAGCTTGATCAATTCAATCAAGGTGTATATCTTCATCTATTTCGATGTAAATGGTAGCTATCCTGGCAGTAAAAGTACCAGTATATACAGTATTGATAATTTTTCTCTAGTGATCTTCTATACTTGCATTCTTCTCACGAGCATACTGAACATACACGAAATTCGTCCTTGAGTGTAGCAAGTAGGTAGATAGTTGAAACACAACAGCTACCACTAGACCATCGCGTTTCCCAGTAAAACCACTAAACACGCAGCGATAAACGAGCTCTCACGCAGCTGTGACTGAACTAACTCTCCGTGACCGCTAAAAAGCCAAATCGATGAGACCACCTATACGAGGATCGAATCGGCAAGCCGCTAACGTAACCCCCGATAACGTTTTCAACGTTAATTTACGAACAAGCTGATTCACTTGATGATCGACGATCATAAGAAAAATAGCAGTGTTGTGTCTACATTAGTGCAACTAGTGAAAAAGCTATTTTTCGGCGCCAGTCTTTTCGTTGGAATTATTTATTTTACTTTGATTGATGATCTCAGATTGTTTTGTTGTGCGGTAATATAGTTATTTTTTTATTCATTTGCCTGTCTGTGCTTTCGAGTGATGCGGTGCGTGAATGGAGAAATAATTTCTGTTCTTGATCGATGCGAATTAAATTCCAATTTGCTTGCGCCCGTGTTGCTGAAAATGTAGAAAGGAACATTTTTTTACAGAAGTCAGTAGACAACAACTGAAAATTTATGCAGTTTGTTGTAAAATAGTATTTTGGGCTATATTAGATCAGAAAATTCAGTAAAAATATATTTCTGTGGAAACGACTTTGAATTTGTATAGTAGATGGCTACTACTAGGAATATAGCGATTATTCAATCGATGGAGGCAATACGATAAATATGAGTTGATTATGAAAATAATGTATCTTAATATGAATATACTAGTTATAATTTAAAAGACTACTGAGGTCGTTTTTCTAAACAAGGGTTCCTTTCTACATCCTACGATTAGTTATTTATTGATGCTAGTCTGTGAAAAAATGTAATTTCAAACATCATACAAACGATTCAAACAACTGCTCATACAGCTTGATTAATAAAAGTATAGCGATATGAAAATAAAACAAAGCCTAAATATCTTGCGACAACGCAAAAAAAAACAGCAATAACTTAATTAACACGTGAGAGCTTGGAAAAGGCGAGAGTACTCGAGAAATATAATCTAGCATAGAATATCTCTCGAAAACACAATAATTCAGTCCCATCAGTGAGAGGCCAGAACTAGAGTATTTTCCCAAGCGCGCGCGCGCGCGCTCGGAATTAGAAATTGCCTCTCTTGATCCAGATCGCTCCAAGTTTTATAATTAATTGCCGGTGAGCGAGCGCGTATGTAAGCTTCCCGTAATAGCAGGTGAAATGAGTCTTGAAGCGAATTCGTCCGAGAGGGAGCGAGAGGGAGAAAAAAAAACTCACACGGGCGTGGTAATTTTAACGCGGCACCAGCGAAATTCTGGTATCAAGGCGTGGCTTAATTTAGCGATCTCATGGGTTAAAAGGTTCTCCTTCTCCGGGAGAGAAGAGAACGGAGAGTAAGTGTCGCCGCGAATTCACGCGGAGAGCCGTGCGCTTAATTTGTGTCAGCGCTGTTTGCGAGGGAACGCCACCACGTTGCCTTGATGTCGCATTGATGATTCTTCTTTTCTCTTCAGCCTGGGTTTGCACGGCTTTTGTTATTGTGTCGACGTAAATGAATCATTTAGCAATCTGCGGTAAGAGTCAGATGAATAAAATAGACGAATTGAAAGCTGCGAATGCTGTATCTATCCGTTGCTCAATTTTTCCGTTTAGCTTGTCATTAAATATTCGTTATGAAGTAATACTGTATGAATCTAATCTATAACACTTGACTATTTTGTTGTCTTATTGAACCAAGTTTACATGTCATGCTTTCATCTGATACAATATAATATACTAATTATTTCACTGAATTTTAATTTTAAATACTAGATGTCATTCTCTAAAATTATGTTTCAAGTGAAATACATATTATAAATGAAGATAAAGATTTGTACGTATAATTTGTACATCAAAAATATTCTGATTTTTATATATTAAATTATAAATAACCCATTCAGTTTCCTCTAAATTTCAAGCAATTCAAACGATTTCATTATGTGACATTAACATTGGTAACAATGGTAATAATATGTTGCCGATTAAAAAAATGTTTCTATACTTCTATACCCGAATAACAGAATAATAATAATAATTTGACTGTTTTTCTAATTCTAATTTCGAAATGCAATTAGATACCCGAAGAACGAAATAATGTTAACCTTCATCTTCGCTACAGATTCTCACTTTCCTTATATAAATGCTTCTGCCAAGTTTGCTTTGCAAAGCTCACGTACATAGAAAAAGCACCTGCTGTCTCCGGCGGCCGCCGGCGCTTCGGGGCGCGAGAGTGACTTACGCAATGATCCGGCAAGCAATATTTAGTTAGCATGCTCAACTATATAGTAATCGGAACGAATTTTCTTAAGATCATCCTATAGACACATGTTTGTATGTGTGCATGTGTGTGGTGACTTAAATCTCATTTCTATTCTAGGCTTACAAGCACCACTGTCGTTTGATATCAGATCGGAAACTAATAATAATCTTTCGTTTGTTTGTCAGGCATTCGTCGGATTTAATTTCGGATGTGTCGCGACGTGAATGATTATTTCGGCACTGCATCGAATATGTCGGGAACAATTATAGCCAGTTAGATGTTTCAATTATGCGCAAGAAGAAGGTTATGAAAAAGGACATGACGATATGCGATGTACATTAGAAGATTTAAAGGTAGTTTTAAAAAACGTGACTGAAACAAAGGATTTATCAAGTGGAGTTTAGTAGTAAATAAAAATAAAAAATTCGATGTATTGATCTTTCTGAACCAATGGTTATTTTTGTGAGCAACTTTTTTCGGGTATTAGAAAGAAGTTGAAAATTCTTTTTAAAAATTCATCAAGGTCGACGAAACGTCAAGCTAGCCTCATTTGTCCTAAAACCATAACGAGTTATAAGTAAAGTATGGTCAGAAAATTAACCAATTTTATGACAATTCATCCCGAAGTCAAATTACGTGCTTTAGTATTTTCGTGCACTTCTGTATTGGTAGTTGCGCAATCAACGATATTTTTTCGCAACATACATACAACTCCACCGTGCGCTGTCTTCCTTTTCTTTTATTGTTTAAAATTAGTCTTCGCTTTACGAGTTTTTACCTCCATCAAAAGAATGCATAGAGACGATCATCTATGTGCACAAGGGCAAAAGCGTCGAGAGATTAATATATTTACACTGAAAATAATAATAATAGCCGCACGCGTGTCTGTATTTCTCTGATGTTAGAAAGCTATCGTATTAAAGTTCATTTTGTAGACGACAGTAGAAGGGAGAAAAACGCAATGATGCTGTTTTATTGAAGGTTGTATCCTTCGCTTTGCACTCCGAAGGTTGGATTCTACTCGAGAGAATTTAGATGGTTTTTTTCGTAAGTTGGCCTTGAGATTATATTTCGGTTCTGAAAATTCTTCGAAATGAATTTCCCTTCATAACATTTTAGCGGAAGGTTAAAATATGAAAATGTTGTACATAAATAATTTTCGAATTCGACGATGACAATAAAGTTTTAGCAAAAAAATATGAAATCTACGTCTTTTCTTCGGAATCCAAGAATAAAATTGAAAAATATAAATATAGTCAGACGATGCATGTAATTTGCTTGTTTGGGAAAATTCTTGGAAAATTATTCTTTTTATGAAAGTGTTTTACATTCGATTATAGCCAGCCATAAATTATAATCAATCATTCAACTCTCTTGCTCCGTGTCCCACGTTATAACTTTAATGACCAAAGTTTTACGTAATTAACTAGAAATAAAGTGAATTCGCAATGAATCAACTAGGACAATTGCAACTTTTACGAACGCGAGTTTTTCATTTTCACGCTAATTTTCATCGATGCCTTCGCGTAAAACACATTTTTCGAGAGCTTCCATTCTGATAGAAAGCGCTTAATATTTCATTCCGCGCGCCAGTGTATATGCAACTGCAGTGGATGCTTCATTTCTTTTCCCAACTACATTCATCATCTTTTGTTTTCTTCAGTTGCAAGTGTGCGTCGAAGGTTGCGACTATATAGCTCAGTGAGCTAAATTCATATAAGACATTATTCAAATTCATCTTAATGTGTCAAATCTGATTATCAACAATCGTTGGTTTAACGATCCGTCATCGATTCTCATTAAAAATTTCAATAAGGCTCAAAATCACGGTTACACCTCTGAAAGAAAAACAACGCACGAACGCACGTGTGATATGAACGTTGAATGCGGCGATGAAAATCAAAGGCGCGTCACGTCTGCTCGAACGGCACGCGCGTATAGTCGGCCCGTTTTATTTATAGAGAAAGAGAGTCGCGAAGAGAGAGAGAGAGAGAGAGAGAGAGAGAGAGAGAGAGAGAGGCGCGGCTTATATACGCAAACATTTCCATCCGCGTGTCGCCAGAAAAGAGGGACGTACGTTTTATGTTATACGCGGCAGGTGTGTAAATTATTTTACTTGTTTTTCTCGAGTAAGTAATCGGCTCATTCTTTTTCCAGGAAATTAAATATTGTTAATATTATTGCATGGTTCGATTTTTCGACTCCTTTGTTATCTTACAGATCATATCGAATGTTTTATTGTCATCATATTTTACTGTTGGATTATGTTCGTATTCTCTTGCAACAAATTTATCTTAATAAGAATAGTTTAACTATCTACATAAAAGCTAATTTTGAGTTCAAACAATATACTATTTGATTCATTGCAATATATTATAATTCATCTTCAGATTTGACCACTGGGTAGCGTATCTCATAATTATGTTAAAAGTGGAAAACATGTAACAAATTAATATGAAGATGTGCACAGAGTAACCATCGACATATATAGAATCATACTTTAAAAATATTCTGAATTTCAATTTGACTGTACTAATTTGCAGTTAAGTGGGAGCTACAAAATAAATCATGATAAATTTAGCTGGTTTCGGTCTTATCATTCGTATTAGTCTTTTAGCGCGACCAATGATGCTTATCCTACTATTCTGATTTCAGAAGTCCTAAACGGCATCTGCAATGCGACGAAAGAGGAAGAAAGGCGGCGAAAAGGTAAGAGCTTTTGATTAACAAGAGTTGACAGAACAAATCATATTAATAATTTATGAATATCATATTTTTTTATCTTTCTAATTATTTTTTATTGTTACCTATTCTTATTCACTTCACAATCAATATTCTGTTTTGTAAATTAAACATATCTTCAACTAATACGACGAAAAATGTATATACAGATAGTTATTTCTTCTTTTATTAAATACGTTTCTATTTTTACAAATATTCATAATACTTTTAGATTCACGTAGATATTTACATAAGTGGAGAGCTCTGGACATTGAGTACACTGTAAAAGATGGCGCTTCGTAATATTTTTTTTTAACAGCAATCATTAAATAGGTTGAAACGTATGAGCTTCATTTGAAAATTTGGTATATCATCAAGATTTTGTACAGCAATTCAAAGCAATATTCTGTGCAGCCATGCAAAGTTGTATTCCACTTTACTATTTAAAATTTTCAAATCGAATCTTAAGAAAAAGAATTACTGATCATAAGCGTTGTTCAATGTGTATCACGACCGATCACCATACATAAAAAAAATCTCTGTCTTCCTCTATAAAATATGACGTGAAATCAATCGAGCATTAGTAGACTGTACGCTGAAAAAGCATATCGCCTGAAGCTAGAACGGCGCATCTGCTCCGTATACGATCTTATCTGAATCCCCAGAGCCGCGAGTAGGAAACTAAAAGGAAGGGGGAAGGAAGGAAGCGATCGTTTATCGATTATCGATTGTATTTGTTCTCAGGTTCGAGTTACCACGAACTATATAACGGTGTCGTGTGCAACGACACTATCCTCGCGACCGGCGTCTTCAGCTCCAAGGAGCTCTGGATGCTTTCAAAAGGTACGACCACGAATAAAAAAAGACTATCTCTGACAAAAAAAAAAGAAAAACACGTCTCTCTATCTGCTCTTCTCTGTCTCTTTTTCTTATCTCTCACTCACTCGAGTCTCTTTCTCTCTTTGAGTGCCGCGAGGATTTGACTTTCAACGCGTGTCTATAACGCCGTCGGTTAGAAAACGCGACTCGGCTGACAATACTATTTCTATCGTAATCTCTGTACGACGGCTTTTCGTAAACGCAAATAAATTTTTTTTCTGAGAGCAGTTTTTTGCTTAGAAATTAGATTGTACTTCCTGGCATGCGGATGCTTTCGAAAGGTAGTGCAGGATTTTTCTTACCTTTTGAAAGCATCCTTGGTCTACCCAACAATGGAAAATTTTACGATATGTTACTTTTTTCTTAAAATTCACGAATTTGTTGCAGCTTATTTTGTCGAGTTGTACTTGTATTATTTTTAGTTGGAGCTTAAATTGAACACAGTTTGATGCAGTCATGGTAACATACTCTAAAATTATTCGATTGAATTTATGACTTTCATCTCATAAGTAGATTAGATCGACTTTGGTCAGACATTCCTTATAGATACTCTATAGTATAACATGCAACTCGTTCGTAGTTCGTTTACCTTCGAGTTTGCTTAATTCTACAAATGGATTTTGATTTGATCCATCGCCAATATTTTAATATAGCAGTCAACATTTTTGAACGACGAGTAAATCATAAAAGCTGTCGCTTCGTAAATTATTCGAAAAACTTCAATGGCAATCGATAATAACGTTGGAACAGCAATATCATATGCTACCTAAATACTTTTGTGCGAGTGTGCATGTTAGTATACTGTCTATTTCTCAAACGCATTAAACAGAATTCGCAACAAGGTATCATCAGTTTGCAAAACAAACCAGGCGTCGATGACAGCTACCGCCTAAATCTTTTATCGCAGCCTTAACAAGACGCGCAAGCTCAACCGACGCGCATGGATAATTCAGCGGTATGTACGCGTTAAATAGAGCAATAGGCCGAGTCTGTTTATCTGGAATGCGAGCGTTCTCTCGAAAGAATATCGCCGATTACAAATCTACGAATTTTGTCTTTTTGCGAATTATAGGCAGAAAAAAAATAAATGGTATATTCCAGCGCGACAAAGATTGTTAACAAAGAGGAGACAGATATAGAGAAGACGATGTGCGTACGCCGACGACGACGATAATGATGATGCTAAAAAGCACGTGTGCGCTCTGTTTCAGCGTCCATACTGCATGACCTCAGCGACATGCAGCCTCAAATAAACGCGATCAAAATAGAGCACCCGCCGTACTACTGCAGCAGCTACACGCCACCGTCAGCAGCGAGCGCCGCTGAGCACCAACAGCCTGCGGCCAGCTTCAGTAAGTTCTTCCCCGACCCACACCCTTTGCCTTTTTTGCTCTCTCGCTTAATTGCTTGGCAATTATGCTGTGATAAGGTTAAGCTGGGAGCACTTTATGTTGCTGATTATTTGCTGCCCCCCCCCCTCCCTTCCCTCCCCTTTCCGCTTTTTTTTTGGGAGCGGGATAGGTGCGAGTATATATATATATATATATATATTAAACGCTGATTGTGGCTGGTGCGATGGTTTAATGAAGGTTGGGAGGCATTTAAGCGACTGAATAATTTTTGATGGAATTGGTTGGGTAGGCATTTTCTTTCCTTCATTTTTGTTTTATATTTTCGTAGGTGTACTTTGAGATATATATAACGGCGAACTGTAAAATATTAAAAATAAATAGATAGACAACACTACTATATTTAAAAATTAATGAGTAACAACAGCTGCCCGACATGAAAATAGCATCAAAGTGATTTAACAAAGACCATAAAATAGAGTTACATACCGCAAGCTTGTGCTCGCTCAGACGAGGCTATTGGTTGAACTTAACTGGCTACATGTCGACGAGCATTATTTAATAAAAAAAAAATTAGTTGGAAAAGAATACAATCTAATTACAATTCGACGAAAACTAAACAGAAACTTTTAAGGCGTGTGTTTCGTTTTTGATTTATTTTAAGCTTGCGCATTTGATGATTTATACTCGTAGTTTTGGAAGCTTAACGGCGCGTTGCAAAGGCTGTGAGCATGCGAGAAATGCTATTTGCGTGTCGACGCTAAAGGTTTTCCGTGCGGACTTTTTTTGCGTCTTATCTTTTCAGCGACGAATTCATGTGTGTGCTTGAATTTTTGATGATTATATTACCATGACGAATTTTGTTGGTTTGAATACCTTCTGTAGCTTTATTGAATTATACTTGTTATAAATCCTTTTCTTTATTGAAACTACTGACGAACAATAAGAAAATTATTAGTCAAAGATTTATATGCAACATAAAACATTATTGACGTCAGTTTCCGAAAATTTATAAATTATAACGGATGACAAACGGTTGTTTTTGATTTCTGAAGATTCAATGACTCTTTATGAAAAGCTCCAAGATCAATTGTTAAAAGTGTTTGACTATGCCATCTGGGTAATGAAGCAATGAATAAAAATTATTTTGCAGGTCCACCGCCGGTGCACCAGCTAATCCGTAACGACAAGACTGACAAGGCGACGCCTGTGTCGAGCGCGCCGACCTTCTCGCCGGTACTACGACCTGAGGATGCGGCAGTAGCCAATTCCGGCAATCGCTCCATGGACTCGCCTCACTCGCAAACGGGTAGGCATGATTTTTTCCTTCTTCTTTTATTTGTTTTCTTCCCCGACGTTTTCAAGCTGCAGCGAGGATGAAAGAAAACACGTCGAACACCAGAAAGAGCTTTGGACACTTGCCCGCCGTTACACGCTAAAAAAGCTCGAAAATATTTTGCTCCGTGCGCGTGCGCCGCTTTCACAGATTTTTCTTTCTCTGATCATCATTATTATGTCGATGTTTTCAGTTCCAGCTGTTGGACCGGTACTTTGGTACTACATCGTAATTAGGAGACTTGCTTTCTTAATCGTTGTTTTCGACCAAGGTAGATTCACTTGTCAGGTTAGAGAAAAGTTTTTTCAAGCATTAGAGATATTCTTTGATGATTAGAGAAAGGAGTTTTTTTTGAATAGCGAACAAAATATTTTTTCTTCTGAATAATCTAATGACTCTTGCGCGACAAGTCTGGATTTGATTAGCATTTTATGAATGTAGACGAACCATCGGAAATCAACGGATATATCGTGTCAAATAGTGTTTCCCGCCCATCAGATATTTGATAATAGTTTCAACTTTTGAAAGGATCGTATCAGCTGAAAGTCAAAAGTGGGATTTCGCAAGTACATACATAGTCGAAAAGCCAATAGAAGGTAACGATCGGTGGTACCGGCAATTTAGCGAAATGTCCCAACTTGCAATTAAACTATGTAGTACATATTCGTGAAGAGCGAAGGAATCCTCATCAGCGCGCCGCAGGCTTAAAGCTGTGAAATTTCGCGAAAATTTCTCATCCTATACCCTTTCTCTACACACATACTCTCGGTTGTTATACACCTCAAACTCACACCCACGCACGCACACACACACACACACACACACACACACATATCCTCCACTTCGTTCGTTCTCTTTTTTCTCTCGCGCGCACAGGCTCATCTGGCGGGCAGTCGTCCAATTTTTGTACTCGTCTCAGTTTGAAACGCATTTGGTAAACTTTGTCGCGGGAGAATGCATTTTCGCTTCCTGCATTCGAGAGAAGGACTTTAGAAAAAAAAAGCTAGCGAGCGAGAGAAAGAGGGAATAAATAAGTTTTCCTATTTCAGAGACGAGGCCAAGTGTGCCGGGGTACAAATCACTTCAACGAATCCCTGGCAATTCGGGTCAACTCGATTAAAGCTCTTCTCCCTCTCTCTCTTTCTCTCTCTCTCTCTCTCTCGTTTACGCTCGCGCGCGACAATGGAATACCTCGAATATTTGCCAGGCGCCGACAATTTGCCGATCGATAATCGCCGAGAGATAATCGAAAACTTATTTCGCGCTCACGCGATCGTTGCATTCCTTGCTCTAGCTTTCGTCTCGGGCAATTTTTTTTTTCGGCAGAAGTTGTTTTTCTCGACTAATTAATTGGCCAGAATGCCATGTGGCCCAGTCAAAAGGCGGTCATATGCGTAATAAAGTGTGTAAAACATTTAGATGAGACCGACGAAAGATCTTTCTGTGTGTGCACTTTTTGCTGCCTTATCATCGTTTAAGGTTTAGGAATGTTTCTTATAAAAACAAGGGAAAGGAAGTAACGAACAAAATGGACTTCGAAGACCACCTCTTTGTTTTCGAGTGACTAATATGACGAATTACGCGTAATCTCTGTTTCAGTCTGAGCCTGAGCGTAGAGAGAATCTCGCTATGTCAACTATAAGGTACTTTAATTGTGACTGGTTATGATGTTATCACCTATATATATTATCTATGTATCTATCGATATTTGCATATACCTCTCTATGTCTATATATATATATTTATATACGTGTACACGACTATATATACATTATATTTATATATTGTACACACTGGTTATGTGTTTATACAAAGCGCGTTGATATAAATGTGACTTTATTATATATATACGTGCGAAGGTATGGAACTCATGACAAATTATTTTCTCATATCCTCAAGCACGAATAACGATGTATCATCCGAGCAAAGAAAAAATATCAAGAGGATATTTTTCCTTTGTACAAATATTTTATAATCGATGTTTATACCGAAAAAACTGGATTTAATGACAAACAATTATGTGCACGATACCCTCTCAGGTCTCTCTTTTATGTAAGTGTCCAGCCCACATACCTTCTTCTATAAAACGAGTACGGGTAGTCGAAGCACGACAACTAATACGACTACTACAATTGCTTTTTCAAGCCCATGTCGTTGCATACAATGAATATATTTTTTGATGATAGAAGCTCTCCCTTGTAAAAACAGCTTGTCTCTGTCGCGCTTTTGATGATGTTTATTATCACGATGTCCGTGTGTTTCTTTATTTCTCCTCTTTCTATGTTCTCTGTCATTTACTCTACTGTCAGTGTATCTATTAAATATTTCGAAAATATTTATACTGTATAACATTGTTCTTTGTATGTCTGTACTATGTATTACAGCTATACTCAACAACTTGCATAGAGTGTAAAAAAAATCTTTCTTTTTCTTGCACTTAAAACACGTACTTATATTTCATAACTCACGCGTTTCACATATTAAAATTGACACAATGGTAAAATTTTAAATCCTAAGTATATGTTAGACATTTTCAATTCCAAGGGACAGATACTCCAATAATATTTCAAAAATAAATTTTTACAAGCATCAGAAATTAACCCACGAAAAGAAAAAAAAACAAAAACAAGAAAACAAAACCTAAAATTAAAACAAGCACACTAGTCAATATTCCAATATACGTGTCAATAGTAATCGTGACAATGTTGCTGCTCTGTCTGTGCATATATTAAAGCCTGCCCGAGCCAAGAACATGAGAGCGGTTCGTCGTCGTGACGTGGCCAGCAGCAAGTAGGTGATGACGGTGGTGGCATAGCAAAAGATCACGACGAGCCAATGCCTGAATCGCCACCCGTCACCCGTAGGTTTTCTCCTAACTCTCACTGTCTTTGTCGTCTTTCTCTCTCTAACTTTTTTATATCTCTGTATATCTTATGTATTGACTATCTGTATATCTTGCTCACAATAACCAGACACCAAACTAGAAAAATTCGCGGAGAGACATTTTTTACGGTCCTCTTCTGCAGATCAAATCGGTTCTGTGATAATTGTCCGAAGCTGAATAAAAAAATATCTCTCCGCATTACACCATATAAACACCCACTGTCTTTGCTCGTTTAGCCGCCTGCAGCTCTCTTACTCTCTATGTGCACGATTGTTGGCGCGATGCTATCGTTACCTTTTAGAGTCCTGGGGCCTCTCTGTGTGACAAGTGTATACGTGCGCTCGTTAGTTTTCCGACCAAAACTCAAACCTTGCACCCTCCACCTACGTCTGCTGTTTAACAACACGCGGTTTTAGGGGAGAGCGAGAAGTAAAACCACGTTAGGCTTCTCTCTGATAAGGAAGCGACATTACGGGCAGAGCTAGAGAGAGAGAGAGAGAGAGAGGACGCCTCCAAGGGAGGGATTAGACGGGCGCGCCGCGAGACTTTAGACGCTATATAAGCCATGCGCAAGAGGGGAAACTATACTCTCTCTCTCTCTCTCTCTCTCTCACTCTTTGCTCCATGAGTTTTGCGAGGCAAAGGATTAGCCGTTAATTCTTTGAGGCCTGTTTTGGTCTTTTCTGATCGCCTTGTTCGAATTTAGAGTACACGCCAAGTTTTGTAGCAGATAACTAGCTCCGGGACTGTGCCATTTGTTTTCTGGATAATGCCGATTTCGGACGGGATAATCACATGCAAATGATACATTTGCTTTTTCTTTGTAATCTAAATGGATTTGTCTTACCAATCATATAGTACACTTAGCTTGTGAGAATTAGAGGATGAAAAAAGAATGATTAGTAATGTCGGGAATGCACAAATAATCAGTGTGCAACCCATTGTCGTCATCGTGATTTGGTAAGCCACTCATAGATGTGCCCTAGATCTGTACCTCTGTTTTATTACATACGTGCATCGATATTACAATATTTACGTAAATGTTCACCCGATCTAGACCTATTCTATTATCTATATACTTTGAAAATGATCTTTCACTATTATCTGAAACTGTGCTTCAAACGTCTGACAGCTTCAAAGCAAATTGATGAATTACAATACCAATTGACATTTGAGGCAAAGTTGCCGATAAAAGAAGCAAACTCACTGATGCACACCATTGATATCTTCTAATTTATCTTTCACTCACTATTTTCACGGTTCTATGCTATCTACGGCTATGTCGATTGCTGGATGGTTATAATTCTATATATCTCTTTAAAATCACGACTTTGTCTTTCTCTAATAGCTATATACTGAAACAAGTAACAATCATGACATTATATCTGAACTACTGCTCAAATACATATACTGCTCCGTATGATACCACCCCTTCTACAATACATGTAAATATCTTGACTATATATTGTTGTTGCGATGTTAGTTTTGATGTTTACACATATATATCTATCACTATATATACATATATCACTATTGATGTTGATGTTTTGATGTTTATACCTTGATGTTTGATGTGGACATGTTTATTAATCGATGTTACCTTGCTGTTTGATGTTTGTCGTTGCACTATCCATCCCCACAAATAACAGCTGAACGAACGCTCCCGCAAAAGCTGTGTCGCGCAGCGCAACAGCTCTGCCGCTTGTTCAACACACACGCAACATTTTTTCTTTTATTTCTGATTGGAAAATCGAGCAGAGTACGCATATTGCATACGGACATTTTTCACTCTTCGATCTAGGTAGAAAGGAAGAAGAGAAAAAAGAAAAAAAGGTTTTGATTAATACATTGCGATGCGCACTCGCAAGCGTATACACGCGTACTCTTTTTTTTTGTTGTTGTTAACCAGGCAGCCAAAGTCTCTCACGCTTGGAGTAGTGCGCCGCGCGCCCTGTATATTTACATATATGTATCGTCTATATGTATTATGCATCGCGTACAAGCTTACATATCATGCATATGTATCTACTTTTGCCGTATAACTCGTGTGTGCTCGCTGCCTCGTGCTGCCACTAAAACCACCCCCTAATAACGATAACGCCTCCCCCCCCTCCCCCCACCCTCTTTCTCTCTTTCTGTACTCGTCTCTCGCTATTTTTCTTGTCTGTGTTTTTATTATTATTACTGTTTCTCTCGTTCGTCGGTGAATTCGCTCTCCGTAGCTTTATACCGTGTATGGCCGTTATACGTATTTCAAACGTGGTCAAATTTGCTAATGTGCCTTGTACATGCAGATGGCGTTTCATCTCTTTTAAGTACATTATCTTTTCTTTTAATTACAATCGGGACAATTACCTGATTACCATACGGCTGATGTATGATCTGATCTATTTATTCTTTACAACGTACGTTATTTTACATTCTTTTTTTCTTCATACGCAATTATTTCAATTTTACGCTAATTTGTTTTTTCATTTTATGAGGTCACATAAAAAATCTTCATCGCATCTGCGTATCAGACAATCTCGTAATTACAGTTGTCAGATTTCGTCGGCAAACGCAATAAAACCGCACACACTTAGCCGCGTTATAGTCTTCAAGCCATCATCAATTAACACACCAAGCTAAATTGGCTAAGTACATCGTGGAAGCATCCAGCAGGCTCGTATTATAGAATGTACGAGCTATGTAGAGAGAGAGCGCACAGTGCACAGCGACATAACCTCAACGGCAAGCGATAAACTTTAAGACTTTAATACCACGAGCGCGCGCGCGGGCGAGCGACGAACAAATGACGCGTGCTGCCTCTCGTTTACGCCTAAAAACACATATATACCCACACGACGTTTACGTACACCTACACATATACGCACACGCATTTATATATCTCTTTCTCTGAATGTATATGCGAAGGGGGTGGTTTTTGCGGGGTGGTAGTGTATGTATTACATATTTATCTACTTCTTCCTCCCTTCAAAGGTGTTTGAATTGACTGGAACAAGCATTGACGCGGGCTGTACATCGATGTTTCAGGCTTGCATTCGCCACACGAAGGTTTAGCTGGTGGTTCTGGACAGAGTATGTCAAGTCTTGCCTATTATCAGCCTGAACATCCAGGTGCGGCTGGTAGTGCTGGCGGTGTGGTCAAGTATCCGGAGAATGGCCACGACACCCTCTCAGACTTTGTGACGTTTGTCTGCCAAGAGGCCGAGAATACACAGCAACTACCCCAGGTAGCTTCCGCGTCTGATTTGAGATTGATTGAGCTGATCGTTGGTGTCGCTGCTCGCTCTGCTGAGTTGCTGGCTTTTGATGTTGTCCATCTATTAGAGCTTTAGAGGATACATACTATTATATGTGTTAGCTGTCATGGGTGTTTTACGGTATACCACGGTGCTGTTAGAAAAATATTATTTCTCATCGATAATACTTAAGAGATACATAGTTTTTTTACAAAGTCAATGAATACGATTTAAACGTTGTACGGGTGATCTTTTCGAAAGCTCCAGGCAACGTTTAGTCCAGATCTGATACACGATTGGACCTGAAGCCTAAGTAAGTAATTGTATCTCTAGAGAATATTATGAAATGAACGAACATAACAAGCCATAAGTTCTTCAACGAGCAGAATCATCAACGATATAGACGTCTCACATTGCTGAGACGACCATAGTCCATTCGCTCCAGATTGATTTCCTTCCTGATTCAAGTCGCACAGTAAAATTAAGTGATAAAATGTACGAAATACTAGATTAAATATCTGTAATTGACATAAATAAAGAATCGATTTGCGGGCGAGTGGACTAATGGGAGGGCCGTCGATGGTTGATCGGTGGCGTGCAATTTCCAGGCGCAACTCGGTGTCCCGCGGACTGCTGGGGTGCAAAAGTTCTCACAGTATTATCCGAGCTCGATGTTACCACCACCACCGCCAGCGCCAATGGCAAGGCCGGTGGCAATCATCAGGTCGACAGGTGAACTTAGCGCCACCAGTGCTGGTAGTGCCAATAATTCGCCATCGAATTCAGCAGCTTCACCTGGTGGTGCTGATCCAGCGGATCTTGCCTCGAGCGCGCAAGATCAAATGGCTGCAGCTGCTGCTGCTGCTGCGGCTGGTCTCGTTGGTTCCACTTGTCAAACGGCTGTCGATCCAAGTGGAAGGAAGAGTCCTACTAGGATTCTTGTCACTGCGCCTCACACGAGTCGAGAATACAGCTTTGCGCATTTTCACACGCAACCTGGTCAGGTAGGTTGATTTATGAATGTACTTGTTGCTTGGATAAAAAGGCATCGGATAATTTATTGGTTTCACGAAGAGTTTTCAAAATAGCGACATTGTTGAATTTATTACACCTGAAAAATAAAGCAGTTCATTTCAAATGATGTGTAGGAAAAATTGATCAAAAATCGTAAAACAATATTTTCAAAGATGATAAATTTATCCAGACACTCGTAAATTCATCTTTGAATACAATCTTCTTGTAAAAGTAATCAAATTTTAAGAAAATTCATATAGAAAGCCACAGCAATAGTGCAAAATACATCTTAGTTGAAAATAGGAAAATGTTCTCTCAACGTCAAGAGCAAAACTTTAAATAGGAGTTTCAAAGTATTTAGCGTAATGTACCTTGCTAAGCTGAAACGCGGTTAAAGTAGCTTAAACGATAATTGATACGTCCACGACAAAATCCCTGTCACTTGAAGTCGTAACTAAATTTCAGTTTATAAATATACATAAAATCAGTTATTTATATAATATATAAATAATATTTTTATTTACACGACTTTTGAATGGATTTTTGGTGATTAATGAAGGCTTATCAAAACCATTCAATGCAGAACTTTTTAAACGTATATTAATTTTATATTTTTGAAATGGTTAATTTTCAGAGGATAGTTACCAAACATCTTTGCTAGTCGAAAACGTATTCTGTCTCGACAAAAAAAAAGCGTCGTAATAGTCACAAAAGCACAAACAAATCATGAAATTTACTTTTTTTACAGCAAATATTTACTTATCCAACAATCAGCTCGATGTCGGGTGTGATCTCGCCAACAAATCTGTCATTATTCTCATCATCGGTTGCGGTAAGTCGGCCAGTGGCGACACAAAGGTCAGTCTCGAGTATGCCATCACGTTGGAATACAGCGCCTTTCATCAACCTCGAGGATGATTACAATATGATTGCACCGATTATCGCAGGCACCGCTAGCGAACCGCCCACTTCTATAGAAGAAGGTAAGAGGCGAATTCGCTCATGAATTATTCAAGCTGATATTGGATTTTTTTTCTGGAGATCGAAAAATATCGAAGCCGCGTTCAAGCCGTAAATATCGGCGGATGAGAACGTTTTTTTTTTCTTAGTTACGGTAGCAAAGGGATTTGGGTAATTGAGAAATTGAGGGTCGGCTCGCCGACGGGTTCGGGTTGGCGGTTTAAGGCTATCCTTACGAGAAATTGTAGTTTAACTCGACTTTATGGTAAATTATGTTAAAGAGATAACTTGTAATGGACATAATGGTGATTGTTCGATAACTTAGAATTGTATTTATGAAATAAATGAGGTTCAAGTACTTTCTTAAAAGTTACTCATACGGTAATTGATCATTTTCTATCGTTATGAGTGAAGCTTCAATTTTATTTGTAGAGCGATACTTCCATCCCGTCCATACGAGCAGCGTCGTTGACAAGAATGGTAACGGTTTGATAAGTGCAGACATGGGTGTAGGTAGTGATCCAACAACGCACCATCATCACCAACAACAACAGCAACAACAACAACAGCAGCAGCAGCTGCAACAGCAAGTTATGCAAGACAAACTTGGTAGGCCAAAGTCTCCTCCGTGACACTGGAGGAACGTCAGCTACGTGCGACCATGTGACAGCCCAAGGCATTGCTGCTTGGCCCGATAGACGACAAAGAAAAATGCACTTTGTATACAAATTATAAAAAAAATATGCTTCCAGCCGCCGCAGTACGGCTGTTGTATAGGTTGTGGACGTTGTAGATGCAAACCCTCTGGTCCCTCGGCCCTAGACCTACTTTTTCTTTTTTTTTTCTTCGAAATAACGAGGTTCTTGCATGAATAAAGCTTCTTATCGAGAACGAGAATTGTCTGTATTATACACTAACGCGTAGAGTTTTTCGTAGATATTTACACAATTTCGTACCGCTGTGCCAAAAAATATTGAACCTTTTTCTATACGACGATAAGCAACGATGATATAATAAGACTTTATGATGATTTTTTCGAAGACAACTCGTTTGAAACTCGAGGAAGAATGCTTTGTTCACGAAGATGCTGGTAATCGTAATAAATTTTCTCGCTTTCGCGCCAACTTTTTTTTTAATACGGTAACCGCAGAGTCTTGACGTGTTGTACAGTCTTCCAAGCCTCTAAAAAAACTCTCGCATGGCTTCACGTTATTTAACAAGCTTCACGTTAATTTTGCAAAAAACTTTTGTTCATTTTACGAAATGAAATAGAGAATTCATAATTTGCACAATTTGTAAGACAATGACGTAATTGTGTTCACATGTTGCAGTGCTGTTGCGAATCTAAAAACAAATTATAACGATATAATATACATGGCAGTATTTTGCCCCTCGAAAGTCAATATAAATAATTGTAATAATGCAAAGTTTTATTATTATAATCGAGGCGTTATTGTATAGTCACAAGTGCGAGATGTAAAATGAAAAAAATGATGAAAAAAAAACACATGATAACAAGACGTCAGTATTGCCTAACTAATGTATCGTAGTGAATTTTTTCATTTTGTCGCCGAACGAGATGATATATTTTGTACGATAGATAATTAACTTAGAATGGGAGCTATTATACCATTCGAATGGCGATTACGCACGCCAAATATAAAAGTCGATTCGTGCTGAACTAAACTAGGCATTTTTTTGGCGCATGACACGCAGGGCAGAGGAATCGTATGGGGGTGATGAGTACTATTTTGCTGATGTCATGGAAACTCATAGATACTAACATTTTTTTTTAATTGAAATTCAGTGAATCAATTACCGCATTTGCTGAAAATATTGGCGAATGAAAAAAGAAACTATGAAACTTCCGATGGTACTCAGTTTTGGCGATAACGAAGATTAAGTAGTCGATTATACGCCTAAATGCTCGCAGGCTAGTGCTAACACTAGTTGAGACTAGTGCAAACTAGTCAACAGAGGCTGCTAGTTAGAAAAAAGAAAAATAGTAATAATGAAATCAACTCGTAGCTAAAGAAGTGTTTTTGTTGTTTTTTCCTCGAGAAAACGGATGATCACGATGATTGAACAATGTGATCGACTAACTGAGATGCACGATCGACCGATTTATATAGTGAATATAATAATAATAATAATAATAATAATAATAATAATAATAATAATAATAATAATAAGATCGTGTTCGACGACTTAATAAGCAATTTAGTTTTACAAAACGAAGTTATACGATTTACCTTTTATCCTAAATGCTTCCAGCGGCTGTCGATAATGCGATTTAAAAAGAAAATACTCGCACAACATAATTAAAAATGCGTTTATTAGCCGCACGGTGAAAATAATATGTTTGATATTCGAAGCAAGTTACTTATTATTTATATAAACGATTTTATGAGTTTTGCGATTTTGTCGTAGTTTTTTGAGCGTTGACAAACAACAAAAAGTAATGGTTGCACAAAATACAAGTTATATTACCCTTTTTCCTCCCACATCACCACCCAAGTTACCTGTCCGAGGACGCGTTGTTCTTTCGATTCGTTTTATTTAAGTGTAGAAATGAAAAAATGAGTTTTATATATAGTATACATACGTTGTTTATTATTATTATGAGATATTTTAATTGATATTATTACCGCTATATACGTTTATTTTTATTTACATAGGCAATCAACCGAACACTCTTGTATAATTTTAATCGTATAATTAGTTTATCCGTATTGTATTATAATTTATGGTTTAACTTAAACTTCGTTAGCTTGGTTTGTTCAATTAACGGAGATACAATTGTTATGATTCGACGACGAAACCATTTCATCGTTCAATAGATTGTTAAATTTGACTTTTTTTCTTGGATTTTTGATTTATTTCTTACCTTTTTCTTTTCAACGGTAAGAGTTTTTTATTTCTTTCACCTTCACTAACAAGTTGATATTGACAGTCGTTCTTTCATAAAACTCACTACAATATCGCTCAAATCATGTAACATTCAGATAAGATGCTTCCGCAAAATCAGTGACGGCAGTCGTATAAGCAAATAGACATGGAATTTTGGTTCCTCACATCTTGTGATTGACTTAAATATAGAGCCAAGCATTATTATTTTTGCTTATTTTTGACCATCGCAAAAACTACTCATAAAAGAAGAAAACGAGGCAATGGCAGCAAGCGATGTGACGCCAATAGTGATGTAAGTTTTGTTAGGTATACAAGGTGCTAAATTATGTACTGTCAAACTGCTACTGCCTGTGGTCACTCGCTTATACGATAATGCTAAGTCTTATTACTAACGCTACTACATCTTGTACTATTCTAGAATAATCTATAAGCTTTAATCCCATTGTTACAAAACATCGCTACTGACAAAAGTGTCGTGATTGGCCTCTTCTTTTCTTCGATGAAAAACGCAATGATCATTGGAACGAATAATTGAGTTTGGTGAGAGTTGCGTTTACATGACACTTTTGTCAATGAAGGAATATTGAAACTACCACCATCACCACCACCGCTATACTAACTCAACAATTGTTATCGCTATTTCAGTTATTAACTATTTATTATCAAATAACACGTTGTAATCAAAAATGCAATTAAATGGAAATTGCTGAAGCTCCTATATACATATACTCAAATGCTATTTAAAAAAAACTGCTGCAATTGCAATTATCACTACACAAAATGAAAAATAACTACATACGCTAGTAATCATAAATTTATCGACTGCTATATATAAAATATATACTTTCTTAACGCATAGTTTATGAAAAATAATGTACATAAATAATTTTTGAAAGAAAATGAAGAAATTTGTAATATTAAGTAGTGAAAGTCGACGAAAAACGAAAATTTCGTTTGATGCACGGAATAAATATATAAATATATTTATGACTTCGTTCATGCGATGTATACAAATGAGATTCGACTTAAAAACGGAGATTATATACATGATAATATATATACGAGTTTATAATGCAGCAGAGAGGATTTAGAGTATACTTATAAGTTTTTTTTTCTATAGGTAATGTAGTAGATAAAAAAAAATTTTAAATGCCAAGCAGCTATGGTGAGATATTTTTTATTTAAAGAAGTAATGAGGTGACGCTGTTTTTGTTGTATCAAAACCAGGATTGTTTATACGTCTTAATAAAACAGGGTGGTCCGGGTTTCGCGTTAATCGATAATAATTGTAGTGATTAATAATAGGAATGCTAACTATTTGTTCTTCCATTTGATATAACTTATATATATTTTTTGCTTGATATTAGTTATTGTTGATACATATACTAGTAGTGCAAAATAGAAGTATTTTATAGACAGACGCTTTTGAAAAGAAAATTGTGCCTTTCATTTTACAATTTTATTTATTATGAATGATTTTTGTACAATACTTGATTATTTTAACTTTCGATAAGTTTTTAAGTAAAGGATACTAATTCAATGATAATGGTTATGAATTTTATAAATATCTTTACCAGTTTTTATTTCTTCATTCAATTAGAGATTTTGCTTTTGCAATACATTTCATAAACATTTGGAGGTAACTTTGTAAAATACATTTGTAGAAGATTAAATTTTTACTTAAATTTTACATTTCGCATGCGAAAAAAAAAATTCAAAAAGGCTGAAAGTATCCAATTTTCAGATAAGTTACAATGTCAACGACAACCGTGTCAACTCGAGAAACGAGAAGTGTTTTTTTCTTTTCTGTTTTTTATTGTTAGAGTAAGGATTTAGGCATTTGAAACTGTAAAGGTAGCTGCAAGTTGTTTTTTTCTTCAAAATTCACATTAAAATTAAAGCAAATACACATTGAACCAACGAATAACCCCAAAATTCAAAAGAGAGCTACAACTAAAATCCTTTGAAAGACATTTTGTATAGCATCTCGAGCTGCCTTGAACCGAAAGTGCATTAAAAATAAACGTTCGCTCGACAGGTCGAGAGTGAGTGATGACATGAAAGCATTCTCGATCAGATCGACGACACGAGGGTTTTTTCTACGTAAAAAAAGTAGTTTCACGTATAGACGGGCAAGTTAATTGAACTAAATAATACGGCCAATGTAGATTGTTAATGTGGCTAAGAGTATAAACAGTTGCGTAGATGAACTTTGGATCGTGCTTTCATTCAACGACAACTTTTTGTAGAATTTTCATAATTTGTATCTCCGATAATAATCAAATTTACGTAACTTTTATCTAATCATGAGCGAATACGTCAAAATGTGTCAAATCTCGATGAGACTTGTTTCCGCCCAATTGAACTTGTTCGATGGATTGGACAATATACTGAGATCCGAAAAAAAATAATGCAAGATTGAATTTAAGCACGTTTCAATATTTTGATAAATAACGTAGTAAACGTAGGTAGTTAGCATCAGTCCCGGGCCACCTTAATGCAAAAAGAGAACCTAACATAAAATAAATGTATACATATACACATGACACAACTCTAAAATATGTATTTACAAAAGAAACTGCAAAAACCGAAGCCAAGTTGACTGACTTGGGAGTAAAGCGAATGCAAAAACATTGAGGAAAATAAATACACATCGGAGTAAGATGATTCGATTGTGATTACGTGTACATAAATAAGGATATTACACTTTTCAAATTTGTTATCAGACAGAAGGATAAATGCTTTTCATTCGGATTTCGCTCCAAGATTTTGATAGTATATTATATATTGAATTTAAAAAATGAAGAAAAATCGTCCCTGCAGTCGGAAAAAACAGTCAGATTATTATAAATAAATTAACCATATGAACAAGTAGTGAGAAACTTAATCATGCAAGCAATTATACGTAAAATAATGTAGGTCAATGCATTCTTTTTGGCCATATTCGTCATTTTTTTCTCAAATAAAATCCAAGAATGACGGTAGCGTAGCAAAAGAAAGCTTTGATTTGGAGCAAACAATAAAAATGTTTTATAAAGAAAATCGAATTCGAGTGGCCAAAATCTGTGCATTTACCTAAGAAGCAGAAGTAGATTTAAGAGAAAAGTAATGTTAACTAACGAAATTAAATGAGAGATTTGGAAAGGGTGCATATGCGAGTAAATTTCATAAAATTCTTAAAATTACAACAACAATAATATTTATAACGACATTAAAAACTGTAAAAGAAAAGGTAAAGTAACAAGAATAAACTAATAGTACGATTACTGCGTTATATTATATACAATTAAGACATTATATACATATAATGAAAAAATTAAACTTGAAACAGTGATATATTTATCGAATATTTATTGAGCAATAAAGATTAACGATAATAAAATATAAAACTAGGATACGAGTAGTGAAATTGTACAAAGCATTATGAAGTGATTGGAAAAGATGCAGTTAAAGTAAATCGAACAAAAGAAAAAAATTGCAATAACATGAAGCTCAATAACATGAACATAGAAATATGAGCAATAATGATGAAACTAATTACACTGAGCATAAAAAGTCATTTTTTTGAGACTTTCAATGGTCTTATATTTATAGAAATGTAAGAAGCGTGAGCAGCATAACGACAGTTATGTTTACAAATCTTTTTGACTCAAAAATAAATCTGTTACTAAACGAAATAAGTTACGATACGAAGCAGAGTCCTAAATGCAGTTGGCGCTTAAAAAATGCAACACATATAAAAATGATACCTTGTCGCTCAGTTACCCTAGGATAAGGGTTATGTATATCAGGGATTAGTCTAATTAGCACAAAAATAAAAGACGATAAATCAAAGAAATAAATAAGCGCGGTACGAAAGGAGGAATATTATAAATAGATAGGTAAGGAAAAAAAATGAAGATATGAAGGTGGTGATAGTGGTGGAAATGAGCTTAGTGATTAAGACGTAAAATACGATTATTGAGGCAAAATGAGAAATGGAAAGGGGACTGAGTAAAGATGTCAATGAAAATGAATCAAGTCCCCGTGGAAAATTGCAATATTAAGAGGCAAAGTGATAGCGGTTGCAAGTCCAAGAAATTGAAAGGGGGAATGATAATTTTTTATCACTTTACTGCGCCAACATTACATTATGTCCATATTGTCTCAATTAACAATTATGTATTATATATCCGACAATATTGATTATTAAAATTCTTAATACATAAATATCATGTTGCATTTGTTTATTAATTTTTCAACACTTGTCACTTATTTATTTACATTACTCAATACCAATTTATTTAAAAAAATAATACCCACGATTACTAGAAAAATAATGTAATTCTAGACAAATTAATGATATAAGTAGGTCTTAACTAAAAGCTCTATACTAGCAATCTTCTTAACAATTTATACGTTATAAGTTTAATTCAAGTCTGATGAAAGAATTGAAGAAGTTTGCATGAAAAATAAGATTTAAAAATAACATGATTTATTTTTCAAGAATATAGGAAAGTTATCCGATAAACCAAAACGGAATCTTTTCAACGAGCAAAATCACCAACGATGGTCATGTTTTTGAGACACATAGCTCAGCCATCTCGGATCGGTTTCCTTATTACAATCACCAGTCCTATTATCCTATATTGCTACCAGTGATGGTAGCAATTACTAGGATTTTTACCACTATATCACACATAAGTCGAAGATACACCTAAGCAACCTGGTCAAATTAGCGCATTTATATCTCTGAGAAAGACGCAAGTAAAAGTTTTTAGAAAAAATATAAATTTCAAGCTTATAGTTATTTATTCACACAAGATACAAAATCAATCGTCACGCCTCTCATATCCGACTTATTGTTGATGTGCATAAAAATAATCCTCTGGAGATTAAAAATAATAAATTTAAACAATTATTCATTAGTTTATAAAAAAAACTGTCAATGCACTGTGCTGGACATTGATTTTAACAAATTATAATTATTTTTTATTGTTTACTCGAAATTCTTAGTAACAATCATCGACATTAAATTTCATTATAATACTATATATGAGGGAGAGTGAGAAAGAGATAGAACGGTCGGTGTGGAAATCTGTCGGTACAGGAGAATCCTATTCTGCTAACAGCCCTTAAAATATCGATGGATGAAAAGCCTTTTCTTTATCGCGAAAGGATAAGTCAGTGTAAATTCAAAATTTATTATCGACAATATTTCTAGCATTATTTTATTAACTGTTTACATTCTATTTTTAACTTCGCTTTGAAGTATTATAATTTTGTGAAAATAAAAAATTCACTCTTGCAACGGCTGAAATACTTTTGGTACCATTTAAACAAAACATATTGTTTAAGCATGCCCAATCGATGCGATGACAAACACAAAATTCCTCATGATACGATTAGAGATAATCATAATAGTTAAAGGGGATATATATGTTTTCACTAAATATCGCAAACATTAGGCAGCGCATTAAGTCCTTGTATAAAGCTTACGGATATGCAGACCCACAAGTCCAACAAGAGTACATTTCAACGGAGAGGGATGATACGCGTGTTATTCCAAAATCAAATCGCTTTCCATTGGATTCAAAAGCGCGCAGCGTGCAGAACGCTTTGCTTTCATGTATACGTCTCAATTATCTTTATGCAAATTTACTTAGTTTTGCGCGAAAGGGAGAGAGAGGGAGAGAGGGAGAGAGAGAGAACCACCACGTCGTTGCGCGCGGCGATATATATACGCGGGGAAAGAGTATAAAGGCCTCGAGGCCCGTCAAGTGTACAAGATTATGGTTTACTCGTTATCCGGCCTGGTGGTAGCATAGTTGGGATTGATTTTGGGATGGAAATTGATTTTCAATGTTTGGTCAATTTGCGGTGGATTCCAAATGAGAATCAATCATCATTATCGATCGTAGCGGCTATATCCGCAGGTCAGGAGTCCCATGTGCGAATTTTCATTTCATCTACGCTCATTTGATTAAATGTACAAATATATTCCACGAATATGATAAATTTGTAAATTACACGAATATGTATTTGTAAATGAAATATGATTATTTTGATCAAAGTACATCATACCATATTACAACGATTTATCGCACATGCTCTTCATGCCAGAAGAATGCTTCTTCTATTTCTAATTTCTAAATGCAGCATACTTGAAAACTTTGACGTTCAATTTGTTGTCGCCAAAGGATAGAACATCAAACACATAATCCAGCCTCTGGACTCGTTGTCGAAGTGCCTGCACCAGTCGTCATCATCTGCGAGCGATAGGGCATCGGCGAGCGTATTCGAAAAAGGAAACGTAGATAGGAAACTTCAAGGAATGCAAATGAAAGTGGTCGCTGAGGGGCATCCCATTTGTCCTTTTCCGCTCATTGATCTTCTTATCCTCCTCTTATCCTACGGCAGTCGGGAGGCCCGTTTGTTTAATGCAAAAGCCTGCTGGCGCGCGCTCGTTATATCGGGAAAAAAGGCGCGAGAGACATTTCAAGTACGCCGCGTCCTTTGATCATCGGGCGTTCCGATGTCTGCGCGACTCCCCGTCGATCCGCCATGAATATGGAGAGAGCTCCATGTCGATATCTAACGTCGCCGCAACGCATGCCATATCTAATTGTCGCTTTCTCTCCGTTCGTACGAGTCCCTTTTTTTCATTCGACTGTTCCACGCGTGCACGACTCGATTCTCTCAGCGGTTTAGACGCCGTACATATCTGTTTAGTAGTTCAAATGAAAACTTCAGGGATAACGTTCTGTTCACGTAAAAAGAAAGCGAAACGGCTTCGTGCGGCGTACATGTAGCAAATGTTACAGTACAAACATGGATTTGCCAAACGTACTTTTATATTTTTACACAAAGCATCGGCAATCTGTGACCGAGCGAAATGTTTACCACACACCCCATCGTTCAAAGTGCGAGCGTTTGGTAATTATTCAACGAGTGACAGAAAACTCGCGACAGCTTTTCCAAGATAAGAATGCTCGACGTTGACGCGCTAACACTGGACAGCAGGCGTTCGTTTGACACGCAAATAACGAGATTTTGAACAAACAATCGCGGAGGAAAAATTTCATCGTGAAATATCTGCCTGCGCCTGTCGTTCATCCGCCGTGAGCTCCTATCGCACATGCATGACATTTTTCATGCCAACTTTCATGCTTCAACGTGATATCTGAAATTTCGTGGTTTTTTTCAATTGCGGCTCGCATCATGTTTATATATATTTTTTACACGTGAACTTCGACGTCAACTTTTTTATTTTTTTATTCATTAACAAAAGAAGTCGCCATAAAAAATTAAAGAAAATTAACGCTTTTTTCATTTTTTCGCATCAATACTAATACTGATTCAAAGAAACATTCGAAGATTTTTCTCTACTTCCACTATACCACAGCATCGACGCAAAGTATATTACGTAGCAATCAAAAGGGAATCAAAAGCACAGAGTTCCCGCAAGTTAGAGAGAGAGAAACAAAAAAGGCTTCTCTTTCTCTCTCCTTCAAACAATGGCTGACGGCAGTGCTTCATAAGGTAAACATCACGTACGCAGAGCGTTTGCGCTTTCTTTACGGACACTTGACTTGCGTGCGCGTGTGTGCATGTACATGCGAGGAGTATGCGGATTAAAATATATTGCTGGCCCTTTGCTGCGCAACTAAATTCAAGCCTTAGTTACCTGTGCTGATACCTTATTAATGTGTCTACCATCAAGACTGACAACATTTAATTATTGAGTTATTTTTCATCGCGTAAACGTATGCCTTTACGTCTACAACAATCAAAATAATATCGTCTTGTAACTTCGTCCAAGATGGCTGGGATATTTTTGAAGAATTCAAATGGCAGTCATGTACGAAATATTTGAATAAAACATAAAAATGCTAAATTCTTATCTCTTCAGGCAGCTGTTCAATGTCTTCTATAATGATATTTTATATATCTTTAATCTCGTAGTCTTGTCTACCTTCAAATTCTCGTACGATTTTATAAATTTCTTCTTAAATACATATTATCAGAATGCTTCACACCTTTGAGTAATTCAATTATTTATGGTAATGTTAGTGTTGAAGTGCTTTAATGAATATTCACTTGCTTGAATTTCTCGTCGACTATCATAACAATGAATTTTATAATTTAGTTGTTAGGTTTTATTTTAATTCGGCCAACTTTTAATATATACCCGATAATAAATGTTGCCAAGATATAAAACGTATATGAATTGCCAAAAGTGATAAGTACTTTTGGAAAAACGTCGTACTTTGTTCCGCAAACACTTCAGAAATTGTAAAGAATTATCCGAAAATTTGTAATCAACGCTTCTACGAGGGAATAAAAATGGTAACGGCCAAATATCATCCCTAAAAATTACCTAATTGGATATGCCGTCGAAACCGAAACGTAAAAACAAAAGCACAGGACGGAATCCAGCTCGAGAACGAGAAAAAAATTACGTTTATACAGGCATCATTGACGCACGCACGCGCGCTCGCGAATAAAGCTGTGGAGTGACGGGAGAGATGATGGGGGTGGTTGAAGATTCGACGGCGCAGATCAAAGCGAGAGGGTGACCGATGACGACTGCGCCTTGTCGTTAAGTTCAAGTGGTCGAAAGTGAAAGAGAAAGAGAGAGAGAGAGAGAGAGGGAAAAGAGTAGCGGTCTCATGCGTGAAACGATGCCACTGCAAACAATCACGATTTGTAACGAGATGCCGCCACGGGATTTTTCATGCGCCACTAGAGAATGAAAAAACAAAAATGGGTATGGATTCCTCTTTCATCCTCTTGGGGATTCTCGATTTTTGACCCTTCGGCAGATAAAAAGATTTTTTCTTGAGTGGGGGCTGTCTACTGTCTTTTCCTTACATAATGGTGATTAAATAAGTGTTGAGAGTGGATTACTCGAATTTTAAGATAGATGCTGTCAATCAAAAGAAAGATGATTGAAACGAAGTGCACTTGTAGGCCTCCTGCCTCACCGTCTGCTCACTGATAATGGAGACAAACAACGAGTAGATAACGAAAATCAATTTATCGAGTTAGCTATCAAAATTGTCCGATGAAATTATAATTCCAATGACACCGTCACGATCAATTCATCTACACCCATCACCTATCAAAATCAAGGTATAAATTAAACATGAAAAAAGAGAGATGAGCGACGGAGCTTACGAAGTTCATTTGCCACTAATAATACG